AATTCCACACAATATTTTAACCAGATATCAGAATCTGCCTATACACTACAATTTGGTAGTTATAATAAACTCACTCTTTTCCATTTTATATAAATCAGTACCCTCCTTCCCCAACTTTCATCAGAGCCATATATATGTATATATTATGTATTTATAAAAAATCATATCATACAGATATTACAGGTATTAAATGAAATTCTCAAACCTATTATTTTCTTTTTGAAGCTTTTAAATATCACCTTAGTACACTAGTAAAAAAGAACCAATAAATGTTTTCATATAGAAAGAAAATAAAGGGCTGTGGCGATATGCAAGCAACATAATTTAGTGGTGCTTTTTATGGAAAGTTTTTTATGAAATGCAAAGAAGAATCATTTTCCAATGCTGCAAAACTTGAATTCTAAAGTCTTTTTTAAAATAGAAAATAAATAAATGCTTTCAGATTCTTTTGCCAGTGAACCAGAAAATAAGATGGTATTTCCAATTCATTTTGATCCTTATTTGTATGGATGACTGAAGCTTTTGAAAATGCTTATTAAAATGCTTATTAAGCAAAGATTCATTTATGTAGTTTACAGATAAATGACTGGATATTTAGCTTTTAACTAGGAATTTAAGTTTATTTATGATGATATACTTCTGTAATATATGTTTATACAAAAAGGATCAAGTAAAGTATGTGCCAGTTTTTAAATTATTTTGTTTTAAAATGGTGTTATTCTAGCAATAATAAAAAAATGTAACATTTATCTTCATTTCAGTCTGAACTATAGGGGTGTGTATGTGAAGAGAGAAAGAAATCTAAGGAGTGAAAAAGAGGGAGAGGGGAAAAGGGAGGAGAAGAGGGAGAAGGACAGACATTTTTAAAGGCATGAAAAATGGAAAAATACTGACATAGAAATAAAGGAGTCTATGCTTTAAAAAGTTCACTTTAACATTTTACTTATTTTTTTCCCCAAATGAGGAAATAGGTCATTTGTAGGCAGAGCTGAAGATAACTGAAAGTTTTGAGAGTAACTCTATCCATATTAATTTGATGGGAAAGTGTTCCTATTTAAGAATCCCAGACCTAAGCTTATTTGAAATGTAAACTGGATTACTGGTTTCTTTCTTTCAATCCTTCATTGTTAATTTATGTACATGTGTGTGTGTATGTTTGTGTGTGTGCATGCATGTGTCTATGTACACATATATGTGAATATATGGATTTGCAGTGTAATGGAGATTTGTCAGGTAATCCCATTATATACTTAGTCAATCACAGAAAAATTCACCTAAACACTGTGGTTAAGGAACCCTCTTCGAAGTTGTCCTTGGCTTTATTCCTTTCTCCTACTGGATCCTATGAAATGGAAGGCTTTGCAACATCCATGATTAAACTGCTCCCATTATGTGTCTGATACAGACTCTTCTCTTCCTTTTCAATGCACCCATTCTCATTCAGGAACGATAGTTCATACAGGCGTACTGCTGCTAACTGCTCTTTACCTTCAGTCCTTTCACCTTGCCCTGTCCTGCACTACCAGATCAGGCCCAAACTTCTAATCAAAGAAACCTAACTCTTGGGGAATATTATTCAAGTATATAGTGTTGGAAATAAATCACATTCCTCTTTTTATCTCCCCTCCACTAGATTCTCACTCTCACTCTCCCTTGAAAATATAATGATTTACCTAAGAACCCCACATATATGCTCAAAAAAGCCTAATCATTTTCACTTAGCACAGCATTACTAGAATCCTTTTCTCCTGAGTCTACCACTAAAATCCCAGCTTTGTTTAAGGTCAATATAATATATTAGCTCTCTGACACACTTGTTCTCTTCAGCACAATAAGCTTGATTTCCGAGCAACCAGCTGCTCCTTAAGCACTTGTGTGGGCCTTTCCCTATTGCTTAGTCATATATGCCTTTCTCTTTTTATTTTTATTTCCTATTTGTTGGGCCACACCCCAAAGTTCTGAGAGCTTACTCCTGGTTTGGTGCTCAAGAATCAAACCTGGCAGCACTCAGGGGACCACAAGGTGTGCTTGGGATAGAACTCAGGTTGGGCACACACAAGGCAAGCACCTTACCTACTCTCTGCCCCCACCTTTCCTCTGTTTTAAGAGTGTCAGTCCCGTGAATAGAAACCAGTCTGTCCTTTGTGTACAATGAAGTAATATTTCTTTCACGTAGTATGCCTCAATGGGTAGATATTGAAAAACTGAACACCTGAAGTGAAAAGAAGAAATTTATTTGGTTGAAAACTTTTAAAGGTAATGTGGATCTCTGGATGAAGAAACTCAGGTCAGTATCAAATGTATCTGGTCTCAGTGTCTCTCAATAGGCTATAGATTTATATAAGTAAGTTTCATTCCAATATATTTTAGGCAGAGAAGAAAAATGTTTCTTTACAATTAACAGTGTTTTCTCTACAAAGAAAAATAAAGATCAATCAAGACACCAGATTTCTCACTTATTTTGAAGATCATTTCAAAAGAAAATGGTCCTTGGAAGCAGTAAAGATGATATAGCCATCTGTTTGGGTTTTTTTCCCGATCAGTTCATCTAAGGGAAATCTTACTTCATATTGGCTGAATCACTGACAAGAGTTTTAAAGATTTAAACCACTTCAGAAACTAAATATGCAAATCTGTCCATATTCTACCACTCAAGTGCCCAGTCTGAACAAAGAAACTAATAAATACCTCTCAATTTCTAAAATTTTTTTTATATTCTGGGCACACCTGGCTGTGCTCAAGGCTTACTCATGGCTCTGCACTCTGGGTTATGGATCACTTGCAGTGGTGCTCAGGGAATTGAATCCAGGTTGGCTGCATGAAAAGCAAGCACTTCACCTGCTGTACTGTCTTTCCAGCCCCAATAATTAACCTTAAAAACTCAATGTAACATGAACACTAGAAAACATTCTTAAAGTCCATAGTATAATAAACTATGTTTTGTAAACCATATTTAAAGATGTGAGACACAAATGCAATTATTGCATTATTGGAAACTCTTTCAATTTCACCTTTCTAATTTTTATTCACTTCTTTCATATATTAAATATCTGGCATTACATGAGTGCATAAATATACTATCAACCCAAAGAAGCATAATCCTTGTGTAGATTTTACCTATATACAATACTTTACAAAATGTAATAGAGCCAACACTTGGTTTTCTCCAAAATCGACTTTTCAGGTTGTTAGAAATTTCAGAAAAAATAATATTTTTTCCTTTGGTTTGAAGCCACAGAATCACCAAGGCCATCACTCTTGCCACACAAGTTATTTAAAGTTGTTCTAATTTTATCTACCAATCCCAATCATTTTATCCTTTAAGGTATGACAGGGTGGTGGATGTGGTAATAATACACTTAAATGAGGTGTGACTTGGTATCCCTAAACCATATGCACTATCATAAACCAAGATTACTTGTACTAAATAATGAAAAAGACATTACACATATGTCTACATCCACCTTCTCAAATGCTGTTACATAAGGAATAATGACTCAATCTGAACCATGAGGCATTATATAAAATTGCTACAGCCCACTTATATAATCTTAAAGAGTCACATTTTTATAAACAGAATCCTAACTTAAATACAACTTTTACTATTCTAAAATACCCCACCTACTTCCTTTTCTGTGTATCTTCCTAAGATTACCTTTGCTGCAACATAATTCCTCTATTCTTCTTTTTCTGTACAAACGCAGAAACTGTGACATCCTTCAAGCAATAGCTTAAACAATCATTTCTCTATAAGGCCTCAAAGGAGTCTTGCAAGTGCATGAACTTTATCATCCCTAGGAACCCATATTTCATCATTTTAATTTTTTAAGACTCTTCTCTTCTGCTTATCCTTGTCAGTGCCCACTGGCCTAACCCCAATTCCCAAGGCAGAGGAAACTATTTATCATTGTTTGGGGTAGCTGCTCATAAACTTCAGTTTGCTTGTTGATGATCCTGGATACAAATCTTTTTCTGAGCCCTAAAAGAGTACTAATATTAAAATAAGGCAAGAATTATCAATGTGTTTTCTGTGCCATTAGAACACCAACAATAAGACACAAACAAAGAACTGGTATATGCTGCTCCACCATTTTTTTCCTCAACTGTGAATTTCAACTTGCTTTTTAACTTATTCTCTCACTTTCATTTGCATAATTTATCTTTCCTTGTTTTGTTTTGTGGCCATGCCCAGTAATGCTCAAGATTTCCTCCTGGCTCTACACTCAGGAGTAACTCGTGGTGGTGCTTAGGGGACCATGTGAGATGCCAGGAATAGAACCCAGGTTGGTCACATGCAAGGCCTACCTGCTATACAACTGCTCTGGCCATCGTTTGCAAAATTTCTATTTTATCATTCTTCTATTTGGTCTACCCCTGTATTATGTCTGTAGAGATATTTTCATGCATTTTTCTTATCTCACTAGTAGCATGCACAGATAAATCTTTTCTGACTTCTGGTATAAAAAACACAAATGACTTTCTTTATGGGATTTTGCTAATCTCAAAACTAACCTCCAAAACTAGTGAAGAAAAACAATTAAATAAATTAAAATGGAATGTTAAAATATGTCAACACAGGTGTCATTAAAGGAAAAGCTAATAGTCACAAGGGTTGGATACTTGTGTAACCATGTACTTATATGTCTATGTCAAACATATTATTAAAATAACATAGAAATACTTTATATATTTCTTGAATATCTCTTTCTTTCTAGCGCGTCTTAAATCATACAGTCTTGCAAGACTCCCAAGCTGAATAAAAACTTAGAAAGTATACAAAGATGAATTGAAGATGAAAAATTACTGCAACTGCCTATTTTCTGGCAAAAAGTTTTCCCAATAGTTATGTTTTTAAAAACTTTTATTTATACCCTGGACTCTGTGATAAAAGAGAATGGTTTTCCCAATAAATGCTCCTCTTAAATATAGTTTAAATTAAAAATAATAACTGCAATGAAATTGTAGATTATCTCAGGTGAATGGGGAGAAAAAACACTTACCCCCAGTTGCCACAGTGATTTCACGTAGGAAATGGCCATAAAATGGAAAATCGAAGGACAGATTCACTCTCTGCAAGGAACAACAACCAGGAAAAAAATCAATAATGTGCATAATAGTAAATGTTATATGAAGTGCCTTGCACTTAGAAAAAACCCATAATACTTCTACTTTGTACCCATGTGATTATAGGTGAGTTTGGGGACCTGAATCATAGATTGGAATAAAGGGTATTTTTTTTGGTAATTATATTTTTGAAATGTGTGGAAAGCACAAAGTTGGATTATGATAGACTATTATTCTGTGTTTTTCCTAAAATGAAAATCTAGAAGTTTTCATTTTTGAATCACGCTATTATATTCTCTCATCTCCACTATCTTTTGGTTGTCCACTCTAAATCGGCTCAGTCCTCATGCTGTACTTCATGCTGTTCCTCATGCTGTATTTCAGGGTGCTTTTCAGTTTGATTAGCCTTCTTCAATAAAGTACTTCAATAAAGTACTCACTACCATATCTCACTAAACAAAAGTCAAAAGATTTTATTTTACATTATATATCCAATGTTCCTTGTCTACATCCTATTATAAAAAGTAGTTTCATAGAACACGAGATCTAGTCCGCGTAGATCTAGGCTGGCATAAATGCTTATTTTGAAGTACACTCGGTTATCCATATTATGTCATTGATACTTGAATGCAATATTAAAAAATAAAAAAGATGGTATTCCCTTGTCCTGCAACAGAGGCAGGGTGGGATGGGGGGTGGGGTGGGGCGTGGGAGGGATACTGGGACCCATGGTGGTGGAAAATGGGCCCTGGTGGAAGGATTGGTGTTTGATCATTGTATAACTGAAATCCAAGCACAAAAATTTCTAAGTCTACAACTGTACCTCATAGCACAGCGGGTAGGGCGTTCGCCTTACAAGTGGCCAACATGGCCGACCCGAGTTCGATTCCTCCGCCCCTCTCGGAGAGCCCGGCAAGCTACCGAGAGTATTCGATATGCCAGACACAGTAACAACAAAGTCTCCAATGGAGACGTTACTGGGCCTGCTCGAGGAAATCGACGATCAACGGGAGGGCCTTAAAAAAGAGATGGCAATTGAAGTGCTACTTTTCCAATTTAGAGTGTAAAGTTAAAGAGATTTAGGAAAAATATTAATTTTGACTTCTTTTTCTAAGAAGGAGCTTGAAATGTTGGTTCTTTATATGTAATAAACAAAACAACAAAGCAAAAAATGAAAAAACTTAGACATTTTATATGTTTCAAATGATATCAAATAAATATTAACCAAAAATTTATAAAAATGATCTATAATAAAGATGACCAACTAAAATGAAAGATGATCAACTAAAATAAAAGATTCTAGGAGAAATTTAATATTTGCTTTAGATATAATAGCACACAAACCACAGATAGTAAAAGACAGATATTAAAGTTTCTATCTATCCCACTATGCAAATTTTTAAAAATAGGGAAGATATCTAGATTGAATTTAGTTCATTTCAGTTTTGCAAATGATTGTTTCTTCACATCCATCAGAGATGATAATTTATTTGATATAAAATTTATCATTCAAATTTTTTAGTGACTTTCTATTAGGTTTTCTTTCTTTTTTGATGAATGTGACATCTTCAGAAAGGGTTTGTAATTGTTTTATTTGGCACTAACAGGAAGAAAAAATCCATTTCCATTAAATCAACACAAGTGAGTGGTTACTAATAACTCTAAAATACAAGCTTCTATGGAAAAATCATATATCTAAAAGAAGATATGAGAAATAATTTTATAAAAGCATTACTTCCGTATATTGTGTTTCATCACTTTAATTTATTTTCATACTTCTGAGCAAATTGGGAAAATTTACAATCCTTTGACACTCTCATTTTCAGAATAGGTATTTGTTTTAAATGTGCATTGCTAACAAACTTTACCAAAGATGAGTCAGAGGAATATGGATACACAAATATTCAATCTCAGCCAACACAAATATTTAAGTATCTTTAGCATTTGATTGGGTATTTAATTTAATTAAGTATTTAATTTAATACTTAGTGTTTTTTGAGAGCAAATAAATTCTCAAAGAAAGTGGACTAATGGGATCCTCGAGAATAACATCCATGCTTGAATTGCTTCCTTGTTTAAAGGACATCTATAATAAAGATGACCAACTAAAACTTCAGTTTTCATCATAACCTGTTCAGATTCCACCGTTAAGGAATAGCAATAGCAATTTAGAAAGATATCATCTTCTTAATTATGAACGCACCCTCCTCCTTCCAGGTACTATTGACACCCTTCACACCCTTCCACAATGAAGGTCACTGTTCTCTCCACAACTTCTTCATTGGCATCTCCAGTTTCCCTAGAATTCATTTCTCAATCTACCACGAAAGTCATTCCCCACAGCAAATGGTAGAATCCAGAATGCTACTGTTCCTGAAATAATGCAAAACATCTGTGAAGTTGCTTTTAGCTTTATCACCAATTCCCCCGTTTTCTTTCTCTTCATTTCCAATTATCTGGAGTATCCTTTCGTTCCTGAACCTGCCACCCTTTTATCCCTAGCTCTGTTACTTCTTCAGCATAATACTTCTGCAAAAGCCCCTCCGCCCCACTTTGTCATGGGTTCCATATTCCTCAAGTCTTATTTCACTTTGGGTTATCCCAAATGCTAATCCTGACATAAGGAATTAGATGCAGATAGTTTGGAAGGTGATCCTAGAAAGCACTTGCTAAAGGAAGGGGAAAGGGAGGCAAGTTAACAAGAAACATCAAGGGCTGGAAAGATAGTACAGGAGTTAAGAGGCTTGCCTTGCATGTGCCCAACCTGGGTGGGATCTCTGGCACCTTCAGGTGCCCTAAGCAATGCAAGGAGTGATCTTGGAGCACAGAGCTAGGAGTAAGCCCTAAGCATCACTGGGTGTTGCCAAAAAACAATAATAGCAACAACAATAATAATAAATACAAAAATAAAAAGAAAAATTGTAAAGCATTTTATTAGTTATATCACATTCATCGCAAGTCTCCTTGGAGAATCTCTTAAAACTAGAAGGGAACCATGCCTTAGAATAATTTCTTTGGTAGCCAGGAGGCCAGGACACAAACCCATCAACTCCCATGGTCTACTGAATGCTCTACTGGCTATGTGGGTGGTTTCACTCCTTCCTTGCCATTGGCATCTTATTGGCACCTGGCTCATCAGCAGAATGAGTTACTGCACTTGAAGTGGGAAGATACTGGCATGCTAGAAACTGCCTCCCACAGTTTTAGGTGAACTCAGGGAGGCAGAAAGGTTACAAGGCAAATGCATCACCGGAGACAGCTCTGTGTCACAACCTCAGGGTCCTGACATGGCCTTTTAGTTCAGTTATGGCTTCGTCCCATAACTCACTTTGCATTCTCCCCAGATCCATGCACACATAAAGTATTTTTAAAGGGTTCATGATGGCATGAGTAGAAAAACTAAAAGTTGAATCCATGTCTAATTGATCATAAAAGCAACGGTCTAGTTCTCAGGCCATTTTTTTAAAGGAGAACGGAAACTCACTTTATTTTTTTAAATTTACTTTTATTTTTTAATTTTTATTAGTGAAACACTATAAGGTACAGTTGTAGACTTACAAAATTTTGTGCTTGAGTTTCAGTTATACAATGATTAAGTACCCATCCATCCACCAGTGCCCATTTTCCACCACTTTGGATCCCAGTATCCCTCCCACCCTGCATCCCCCGCCCCATCCCACCCTGCCTCTGTAGCAGGGCATTCTCTTTTGTTCTCTCTCTCCTTTTGGGTGTTGTGTTTTCAAAAGAGGCATTGAGTGGCAATCATGTTTGGTCTATAGTCTACTTTCAGCATGCATCTCCCATCCTGGGAGGATCCTCCCAACACCCTTTATTTCGTGCTCCCTTCTCTATCTGAGCTCCCTTTTCCCCTAGCATGCGTGGCTGATCTCCAAGCCATGGGACAAAATTCCTAGTATCAATCTCGGCCACTCTTGGGTATTAGTCTCGTATTTTGTTACTTTATGTTCCCCAGATGAATGCAATCTTTCTATGTCTATCCCTCTTTTTCTGACTCATTTCGCTTAACATGATACTTTTCATGTAATACCACTTGTATGTAAATTTCGTGACTTCATCTTTTCTAACAGCTACATAGTACTCCATTGTGTAAATGTACCAAAGTTTCTTTAACCAGTCATCTGTTCTCGGGCACTCAGGTCTTTTCCAGATTCTGGCTATTGTAAAGAGAGCTGCAATGAACAAACAAATGCAGATGTCACTTCGACTATACTTTTTTTGCCTCTCTGGGATATATTCCCAGGAGTGGTATTGCTGGGTCAAATGGGAGCTCAATTTCTAATTTCTGGAGAATCGTACATACTGTTTTCCAAAAGGGCTGGACCAGTCGGCAGTCCCACCAGCAGTGCAGATGTCACTTTGACTATACGTTTTTGCCTCTCTGGGATATATTCCCAGGAGTTGTATTGCTGGGTCAAATGGGAGCTCAATTTCTGATTTTTGGAGAATCATCCATACTGTTTTCCAAAAGGGCTGGACCAGTCAGCAGTACCACCAGCAGTGAAGGAGGGTCCCTTTCTCTCTAAATGCACGCCAGCACTACATGCTTTTGTTCTTTTGGATGTGGGCCAGTCTCTGTGATATGAACTGATATCTCATTGTTGTTTTGATCTGCATTTCCCTGATGATTAATGATGTAGAGCATTTTCTCATGTGCCTTTTAGCCATTCGGATTTCTTCTCTGAGAAAGTTTCTGTTCATTTAATCATCCCATTTTTTGATGGGGTTGGATGTTTTCTTCTTGTGGAGCTCAACCACAAGGATGTACTTTGGATATCCTTGATATCAACCCCTTGTCAGATGTGTATTCGGCGAATATCTTTTCCCATTCTGTAGACTGTCTTTGTATTTTGGTCACTGTTTCTTTTGAGGTGCAGAAGCTTCTTAATTTAAGATAGTCCCATTTGTCTATCTCTGTTTTCACTTGCTTAGCCAGTGGCGTGACATCTTTGAAGACACCATTAGCTTCAATGTCATGGAGGGTTTTG